CTTGACTGTAGGGGCCTGTGTAACTGTTGTCTTGTGCCTGCTCCCTTCTCTACTGAGATACTTCATTAGTGCTATGGTAAAACTTCAGGCCGACCTACATCATGTAAGGCTTCGATATATGGCTTCAAAGATGGACATCTCCCTCCCGCGGGGGCTGGTAGTCAAAGACGGGTAAGACTCCCTCAGAGGCTGGACCACCTAAGACAGGGCGTGCATGACGGAATGCACGTACCGAGGACGGGTACGTTCCAGATCTGGTGAGGGGGTCACCTAAGACAGGCACAGTCGCCCTACGTCAGAACCAGGAGGGTTCGGGCATTTAAAAAATAAAGAAGGGGGAGATGTGGGGAGCCGCGCTAACTTGGCGAGCTCCGAGATAAGCGGCACTGAACTATTTGAAGCACTCGGTGTTTTCCAAGAAGGGAGTTGTGAGAGCTTCATTGTTTTGCAGGACGAGTCATCGGGCTGACCTTGGGCCTTGACTGCTGTGTTCTCATTGCGATGCTTTAAGTAGTGTGTTTTGAATAAACTCGGGGACACAGCTTGAATCTGTGCTCCCCCCCGCAATTCTGTCTGTCTTCTTTCCTTTCCCCAGTCCATGCTCCCCCTTCCAGGTACCCTCAATTACTTCGTCAGCTAGCTCCGACACAAGGTCTCAAAGGCCCCCCGCGGGAGGCACTGGGTGACCGCGGACGAGCGAGCACCGGCTCCGTAGTGGGCTTACGCAGGGCCTGCCGCGCGTGCTGGCCTCTGCTCCCTGTCAGGGGCACGCCCGTCCCCGTCTACCCAGGACTGGTCCCAGGTTTCAAACTGAAAGTCCAGCGTCCTAGGAACCCCCTCAGCTCCCAGCGGTCACCCCATCTGTCCTCGTGCCCGGTAGTGAGAACCCCAAACCATGGGGGAACCGGCGACACCCTCCCGCAAGGCAGGCAGGGAGCACGGGAGGTCATTTATAGATCGTTTTGGTCTTAATTTTCGTATGGCAAACACTATCTATCTGCATCTTAAATACGGCACAGCTCTACCGTGGAGCAGGTACGCAGGGCACACGAGCTCTTCGGGTGTGCTGTGAGCGCCCACGTTCTTCTCTGCTGGTCACAGCAGCCTCCGGCTCTGCCCGCTGCGGCCCTCCCCCGTCCTGGGCTCAGACAGGTGTTGGCCGCGGGGCGCAGAGGCAGGGAGCAGGCACGACGAGGCTGCGGGCATGTGCACCGCAAGTCCCTGGGGTCTGGCGAGGGGAGAGGCTCGGACAAGAGCAGGGGCAGCAGGGGTTGAGCTGGGAGGGTGGCTGGGACCCTGCTGAGGACAAAGAGGTGGAAAGGGAGCATGGCTGAGGGGACAGAGATGGGACGGGAGCAAGAGCCATCTATGAAGTCAGATCCGGGTCCTACGGCCAAGTTTGATGACGAGCTGTGCAGTGAGCTGCCTGCCGGGGGCGGGGGGGCCGTGCCCCCCAGAGACTGTGCGTGCGACAGTTTGGGAAAGGGTGTGCACCGATGTCATCGAGTTAGAGATCCTCAGGTGAGGTCGCCCTGGCCCAGCCGGGTGGCCCTAAACGCAGTGACGAGCATCCTCATGAGGAAAAGGCAGAGGACAAGACGGAGGAGAGGCCGTGGGAAGGTGGAGGCAGAGCCTGGAGCAGGGACCAGAGGATGACCCGCCACCGGGAGCTGGGGGAGGCAGGGAATGTCCTGTCCGAGAGCCTCAGCGGGGAGTGCGTCCCCGCCCACACCTTGGTTTCCAACTGGTGGCCTCCAGGAGCGTGAGAGGACAAACCCCTACTGTTTCAAAGCCCCCAGTTTGCAGTTATTTGCTCCAGTGGCCCCAGGACACATGTACGGACTGGACCTGCGGACAGGGCAGGGTGGCCGCGTCTGAGTGAGGGTGCGCTTCCCCAGGCACCCTTAGTCCCAGGAGGCTGCAGAGGGAGGCGGGCCAGCTCGGCCACTTCCAACCAGCAGCCGTCCTGGTGGGGAGGAAGCACTGATTCGAAGTGGCCCAGAGGCTGAGAACATCATCCCAACGCAGAAGAGAGGGCAGAGCACGGGATCATGGAAGCCAGCGTGGGGCGGGGGGGCACACTGCTGACGTGCGGCCCACAAAATAGAGGACAATTAAAGATGCACTCAGCTAAGATTTCAGAAAGCCTTTTCCAGGACGTAAATATCGTATCTGTCATTAAAAATGCATTTCTTGTGATTGCCCAGAATTCCTGGGAGGCTCAGCGCACATTCGGGAACCGCATCTTGAATAACCACGTGACATGCGTTCCCCAGGCACGGCGCCGTGGACCACCACGTACACATGCCTTCATTGGCAGGCACAGGGCGGTGGCCCCCCAACAAGAGACCAGGACCATCTGGCCCCTTCTGAACAACAGTCACACAAGCCCCCCAAACAAGAGGAGGTGAGCAGACAATGCTCGCAAGAGAAAACGTGATCAGCAATTAAACACAGGGAACTCCAAATTAAAACGACACTGCCGTCTGCTTGGGCCGTTTGGTCAGCAAGCTGTAGGACCCTTGCCGGCCCGGAGGAGGGGTGCTGCCTGCGAGGGAGGCCTGCCTTCCCGCAGGGAAAGGACGTGGGCCTGCAGCAGGCCAGCTCTAAATCTGCTCACATGCTCCAGCTCGGCAGTGCAGCTCCCTGCGATTCATTCCCGGGAACAAAATGAAACGGAAAACGACGTGCCTGAAGTTTTCACGGCGGCATCATGGCTGGGCATTAGGATGAACCAACTCAGGGGGCTGGTTCACGGCCATAAAAAAATGATGACGCGGACGATGACACGACGCGGAAACTCGGGGAACACGTCACGCGTACGAAACAGAGACGAACGCGGGACTTTTTGCGACGTCTAACTATACGGACGGCATCAAAAAGATGCGATAAACAGAGACGGTGATCGTGCCCGACGGGTGGGGGCGGTGACTCATGCTGTCGCATCTATTTTTAATAAGGGAGAGGAAGCGTCTCAGAGGACAGACAGTGACGAGAAGAAAAAGGGAAATTAAAGTCTGTGGACTTGCTGTGAAGAAAAACTAAATTTAGATGGTGCGCTGTTCCGGGGACAGCTTCTACATCTCTCATCGGTCTCGCGACCTCCCGCTTTACCAGGGACACCTCTTCACCCCCGTTTCTGGGGCAGGGAGCCTCAGGCTACGGGTGGGAGGAGGAGGCCTCGTGGGAGCAGCTCCGAGGTGGTGGTTTGACCTCTTGGCCTCCCCACCAGCGCCTGAAGAATTCTGAGGCTGGAGCCCACGAACAAGGAGTCCAGCTCCCCAGGCTGTCGGGCTGGCCGAGGTCGGTCCCACCCCCACCTTGGCCCACGAGGACCCACAGCAAATCGTAACTGCACCCAACAACTCCGTCCTCATGAGCACGGATGACACCAGGAAAGACAACGGTTACGATACCCTCATTTCCTGTCTCCGGCCAGGCTGAGACTCTGCCGGGGCGGGAGCCAGTGTCCCTGCGGGCCCCCGCCCTTCAGCACTCACTGACGCGCAGGACGGGGGGCGAAAGAGGTTGCTGAGGGATCCTGCTTGGGGAGGACGAGACTCAGGTGCTTCTGTCCACTTGGCAGCCATGGGGACCCATCCTTGGGCTGTCTACCTAGCAAGAGGGGCCCTCCATGGGCCGGGCCTTCCCCTGAACCAGTCCCGGAACACAACCCTCGAGGAGCAGCCGAGGGGGTGTCCTCAGAATGGCACTGCTCACGTCCCCAAGGAGTGCCTCACCTGGCACTGGAGGCGAGTCCTGACAGCAAGCCTCCGACCTCTCCTTGGTGGCGAGCGGCTTCAAGGTGCGAGACGAAAAGCTACTGAGACACAGAGTAACGGGGGCGGAGGGGGCGGGAAATCGTCTGTCCTCTGCAGGACCGTGGCCGGGGCTGGCACCTTCCCCCGGGGCTGGAGGAGGACCTGGAGGAGCAGGTGGCTGGGTTCGGAAGGAGAATCCGCGCGAGAGGCTGGCTCGGTTGGCGCTTCGGGGTAGGGTAAGAAAACTCAGGGCAGCATGAGCACCTCGACCCCCGCCCTCGGCCTCACGAGCACCACGGGTGACCACGCCGGCTGGCCCCGAGGCGACAACGTGCCTTACACGGCACAGAAAGGACCCAGCTCCAGGTGCGATTCCCAAAGCCTCCTGGAAACCACTCGCTGAGAACCAGCGGAAGGGACCACGGAGCCCTTTCGCTAAGAGCCGAGCCTGCAGCCGGCAATGAGGCACCGCGGGGTGGCCGCGCACGCGTCGGGGTCCTGACCAGCCGGCTCTGGTGGGTTTTCATGGGTTTGTAACAGAAACGTGAGTCATGACTCGAGAAACCCGTCCTGGAAACGAGAACGGTTCGATGAGAAGGTGGGCCTGGGAGCCCCGCGCGGAGGAGACGGCGCCCGGCCTGGGAGCACCGCCCGGGACGCTGGGCACCCTCGTCCCCATCCCTGACGAGCAGACGTAAACGCCGAAGACGACAGTCACGGAAATGGCTTCCCAAAGCTTCCTCCTCTCCCGCCTCGTTCACGGCATCACGGGCTGCCCCGCATTCCTGGACTAGCGAGTCACATTTCAGAAATAAAGCGATGCCCCTGCCCCCGTCGCCGGCAGGTTATTTATTTACCGAGCTCTTCGCTGAGCCAGGAAGAAAGCGAGCCGCCTGCCCCTGCACAGTGAGGCTAATCACGCGCCGTGGGCGCCCGGGGCTGTGGCCGGAGCTCCGAGCCACGATGCGGTGACCTGAATTCACAGCGCGAACCCACTGCCTCCCGGAGGAAGATGGGGAGGGGCGAAAGCAGAAAGCGCAGAAGGCAAAGCAGCTTTCTGACCGGCTGTCTGTTCCCCAGCGCTGTGCGTGTCCACTGACGAAACTGTCCATTTGTCTTCCGGCCACAGCAAAGTCACCAGGCCGCCCACTCACTGGGCCGCTCCGGCCGGGCTTCGGGATCTCGGCCCTCAGCCTCGGGAGACGCGCGGGAGAAAGGCCCACCCTCGGGCTGACTTACCGCCACAGAGAACTTTCCAGAACCTTCCCCATGTCTGCGTGGTAATACTTCGTCAGGATCAAGATCACCTGTGGCAGCAACAGAAAGAGACAGGCAGAGATCAGAGGGTCTCGAGGTTCTGGAAGAGGATGTCTGACACTCCGCCCACCCTCTCGGGGCTGGGGGTCTCTGGGGCGTCAGTGGTCCGGGCCTTGCTCGGCCAGCATCCCCGGGGGACCCGGCCACCATGTGCCCGAGCACTGAGACATCAAGCTGGTTTCCGCCCTGAAGCCTCGTTTCTGCTCTCCAGAATGGCTCTGGGGACATCGCAGTCCTTGAGGTCCACCCAGCAGCTGCGACTCGGTGGGAATTCAAACCCAGCCCTAGAGGACCCCAGCTGTGGTCAACGGGCCAGCGCAGGCGCTGGTCCCGCGGGAGCAGAGAACGCAGCGGGCCAGGCTTCTGGGGGGTGCCCTGCCTCTCTCCCGCCTTGGGCAGCCCCTCGGCCGGCCGGGAACCGACGAAGAGTGGGCAGGGAGCACGTGCTGACACCGCTCTGCTCGGAGCAGCGGCTGATGGCAGAGCTGGTGGCAGCGGGCGGGGAGGGCGGGAAGGACAGCGGAGACAATTGGAGTGGTCCGCGAATCACCCGTGGCGCACACTTTCTTCATGGCCGTTAAACTATTCACCCCGGGCCCAGCCTAACGGAGGTGACGTCACTGCAGCCTGTGCAGAAAACTCGGCTGTTCGTAAGTGAGAGATAAGTGTGCTTACGAGCACCCCAAAGTTCTTCCAAACGCATGAAGGATTTGGGGGCCCAGGGCAAGAGCCCCTGCACTTCCCGGTCCCTCAGATCTCCTTTTGCTCACTGCCAGGCCCTATCAGCTGCTCCTAACACCCCATTGCCATGGGAACCCTGGGAGGTAAAGAGGGAACACCCCCGGTCCCCAGCACAGCCGCTAGCCTGGTTCGTTTGGAGTCGCCGCACTGGCCATCGCCAAGCTTGGCCCCTGTGCTCTCGGCGTGGCTGCTGCAGACCCCTGGCCGGCCCCTCTTTGGCTGGTGATTGAAGCAGGGATGAGAGGGACACCAACCAAGAGGGACCGCGCGCATTTCAGAGGCAGGATGATTACAACGAGCGCGGCCGTGCCGGACGAGGCGTGGGGGCGGGGGCTCCTCTCCCCCACCAGGCCCCCGAGCCGAGTGAGGGGGGCGCCTCTGAAGATCCAGGGAGCGGGGAGCACAGCAGGGCCCACCGCAGGAGGCGCGTCTTTTTAACCTGCTGATTTATATTTCACAGTCTCGCCGTTCCCAGCGGGGATTTCGAGGAGCCAGAGCGTGACAGCTGGGAGGACCTCAAAGTCCATCATCCTCAGCCCAGCATCCTTACCAAGCCCCCACCATCGGGGCTCTGCTGGCACGCCTCGAGGGCTGGGGGACTCGTCCCGTACCTCCGCCTTGCGGACTTGGTCTGGACGCGCCCCCCACCTGTGCCCTCCCGGGCGAGACCCTCCACTCACGCCCACCCCGCTCCCTCCCAAGCTCCAGCCACTCCCCGCTTCTGGCTTCTGCACGAGCTGTTCATTGTGGGACCCTCTTGCCCAACCCCCACGCCCGCTACCCACCTTTCAGATCTCGGTCTAACAGACACCACCTCCGGGAAGTCTCCGAGACCCCAGCCCCGGGCCCTGTGCTCTCCCGCTCCCAGCACAGCTCACGGGAGCTGCCCCGCCACCCGATGATGGCCCTGTGCGGGGAGCGGGGGGGACTGGTCTCGTATGTGCCGGTGCTGGACACGGCGCCTGCAGGATCCCTATGACGAAGGCGGTAAAGCCAGGCAGGCGAGTGCCCTGTGCAGGGAGTCCCCGCCCTGCTCTGGCTGCCTCCTCACAAGTCACCCCCTTCCGCAGGGGACACTGTCCACTCTTACGCAGGAGGACAGCATCCCAACTCTGCATCTGGCAGCAGGAGGACCCCTCTGCTTTGGGGTCAGACCCTTCAGGCCCGATGCAGCTCAGTTTCCTGGTCTACGATAAGGAAATAAGTCCCTCTGATCCTCCCGAGAGGTGAGGATGGAGCTCCCGAGAAGGGACCCATGCCCTCGTCAACGCTCGGTGACACCAGCTTCGTCACCGACGTCCTGGCCCGGGTGATGTGGTTTACAGCCGTCAACTCTCGCTACACCCTGAACACAAAGCAGCGCGTTTTACCCCCACGTGACAGAGGAAGACGGGAACGCAGAGTGAGCTCACGTCCTGTGCCAAACACGACACAGCCACTATGCGGTCCAGCTGGGCTGGGACCCAAGGACGTGACTTCAGAGCCGGGGCCTTTAACTGCCAGGCGGAGACCATGTTTTCAGAAGAGACGTCTATTAAAAGTTGTTTTAAAGAATTAAAAAGCTTGACGGGTCCTCGACGAACAGCTCTGGAGATGAAATATCCCAGGAGCTAGTTTTCCAGTGGCTGGTGTGTTACCGGAGCCCCCTGTGCTTTGGTCAGAGTGGGAGAAAACTCTGGAATGTGAGTTGGGGCTGCCGTGTTGGCCACCACCAAGGGTCCCCTTCCACCCGCGGCGCCTGGGCCGGAGCTCTTCCAAACGGGCAGAACGTCCGGAGGGAGACAGGCATCGAGAGCCAGCCCCACCCGAGGGCACAGAGCCGTCGTCACCGCAGCCCCTCGGGCCCCACCTCACCCCTGCGTGCCATCTCACGTCTGGTCCTCCGGGCCCTGGCGGGTGGGGTGCTGGGCGCCTCCCCCGTGCAGGCTGGGCATGTGATGAGCACACCGAATCGTCACACGGCCCCACGGGAGGAGCCGCTGCTACCATGCCCATCTCGCTGTCCCCGAGACCGAGGACAGAGCTGCCGAGTCGCCTGCCCCGCAGCGCACGCGGCAGGACCAGGGCCTCTCAGGGCGGGTCCGGGGCTTCTGTGGGTTCGCTTCTCCTCCCTCCCCACATCCCTGTGGCGCTGCCTTCAGGTGTGGGATGTGCAGATGCTCCTGGCTCCCCTGGGAGCACTGTCTCCCAGAAAGGCCAACTGTGACCCCGTGAGAGAAGCCAACCGCTCCAGACTTCCTCGAACCCCATCCCCAGCCCTGAGGCTGCTGGCCACGGGTTTCCAAGGCCGTCGGCCCTGACGGGAAGTCCCGGGGGCACCCTGCCTCTGCCTTCAGTCAGTGTCCTGCCAGGTCCCCCTGACAGCTGGAGACACACGCTCTCCGCGGGGGCGGCTCTGAGCTGTGAGCCGGCTTAACCCCGGCACGCCGTCTTACGAAGGGTGGCTCCGCATGTGTGCCTGCCCGTCTCAGGACGAGAGGTGTCCAGACCACGTGCACCGTAGGGCCCTGAGCCCCCACGGCAGCTTCCCCCCGTTTGCCTTCCGAGGGCTCAAGGATAATCGGAAAAATCACACATACTCCGAGCCAATGCAGCTGTCGGTCAGGAAGCGCACTACACGTGAAGAGCGTGCATTAATAAATGATAAAGAAAAAGGCAGCGAGAACGCGGGGTTTACTGTGAACCCTGAAATCGATCTCCCCTCAGAAAAGGGGGAAACCCAGAGGCCCCGGGAGGCCCCCTGCTGATCCCTCCAGACCCGGCGGGGCAGGCGCCCAGGAGCCCCTGGAGACCAGACCGCGGGGGATGCCCTGCCCCAGACTCGGTCTGTTTCCAGACTGACGTCTGAGAAGCTGCACTGACGGACCCTCACCCAAAGGCAGGCCTGGGTCCCCATCTGCTCGCCCACGTGGGAAGCCGGGTCTCGAGAGAGACCATGAGCCATCTGGCGCTGCCCCTGCTCGCAAGGGACAGTCCCCCCAGGGCCCCAGAGGGCACTGGGCGTGGCCCAGTGGAATGTAACAAGGCCCGTGACGTCGCCTGCAGATGGGATGTGGTTTCCGGGCGCGGGGCCAGGAGGCTGATCTACGGCTGTGGTGAGGAGACAAGGGGCACGGTCTCCCCACTTCGTGCGTTCACGCGGGCCACCCCTCGGGGAGCGTCCCGGGACCCGCGGCCTAGGGCCGGCGGCCTCGGTCCGGCCAGGGCGCACCCCGCTGGCCTGGCTGACCCTTGTGTGAGGCCCGTGCCACTTCTGGGGAGCCCGTCCACGTCCTCATGCACAGGGGATGACGGGCTGCCGCAGTGACCCCACGAGGCGCTGTTTGGAAAAGACCAAAAATGACCGCGCATCCACCGACGGCCCCGTGCTGGCACGGCCGCCGGGGGAACGGGAGG